ATCATTCTATCATCGTATTCGTCTTTCTGTTGTTTCATACATTGTGAAATGATGACATGATAAATGTGAGTTTGTTGATGAGTAGTAGTCATTTGTGTCATATGCGAAGTATGGGTGTATAAAGGTGAATGAGAATACAAATGAGTGAATAGATGTTTTGGATTTCGGGTAATTAAAACTTGGATATCAGAACACATGTTTCAAATCACTGTACATAATTGATTGACTTGAAATCGAATGTTCAATTAATGGACCTCATCTGTGATGACAAGTGAACATCATTTACTCGATTCTTGTATATCGTGTTGAATGATTTCATCAGACATGATAATTTACTACACTATTCGACTGTCAAAATGTGGTTTTAAGAGGAAAGAATTATTCTGTGTCGAAAACTGGACAATATTTAAGAAGGGAAGAACAAAATGACAGCAAGGAAACGTGAGTGAACTATATGACACAACGAAGAATCTGGTAGGGAAATATATTGAACCAGAGAGACCGGTGAAGGGCAAAGAAGGCAAGACAATCACTGAGATTGAAGAGCAGTAGAATAGGTATGTAGAACACTTTGAAGAATTTGTGGATGGATCAACCACACTGGATCCATCAGACATCGTAGCAGCACACACACGCCCAACCTCGAGATCAACGACCTGAGTTCTTCTGTGATCTGTTTTTCACAGGCCACATCGTGACACTACTGATCATTATGTAACAATTTATTGAATGAAACTGGTCACAGCTGACAGATGCAGTCGAAGCGAGGACAGGTATGTGACAAGTTACCTTACTCGAGTCCTTTCTTATTCGTCTGGTGTTTGATTAGATTATGAAGAGCGCTACATATGAGGTGAAACGTTGAATACGATGGACAACTCGTAATATTCAACACCATTTGGACGTCACATATCACCTAGAACTTCCATAACATATAAACTGACATATGCAAGTGAATATGGTGAGCAATTGGGAACAACCGGAATGGAAATTCTAACACAGAATCGATTGGCGAATACTTGTGGATGTCCTAGGCTCCTCCATGAGGTGTAACAGGCATAAGCGAGTGAATATCAAAATACCTATGTGTGTAAGATGTGAAACAACGTTTATGAAGAGGAAATCGACTATTTGATTTGATGTGTTAATATATTCTTAGAAATTGTGACCTGTAATGAGACAGTATATGTTGATTGCATGTAGTAACGCAAATGTGATGAAGTGTGCAGATTCACTGAGATTATTGCACTACGCAAAATACATGTTTCAAGTTTTCGTGGATTATAGTTTGATATAATGTTAGAGGATGTTAGAGGAATTATTGATGTGAGTTTGTGAGATGTGTAGTGACTCACATGTATCACGAGAACACGACTGGTTTAATAAAAACAATTATTGTTATAACCAACTGTACCAGTGTTTGTTTTAACGTGCTTTTGTTTGACTGTGCTAATGACAGCTATTTTGTGCTTCCATTGATATTCACACCCTTTGATTGTGACTTCGCGCGAATTCGGTTACGTTCTGTAACCAAGCTTGTATCCTGGCACGATCTCGGTATCCTTTCGATACCACGAGATCGCCAGCAAATATGTATCTCGATTTGGTCCATTGATCGCCTTCTGATATTTGGCTCCTCGGAGATTTTATGGGTTTCTTTGGTTACGTTCAACCTTCACCTTCTGATCTACTTGGCACGTGTTTCTTGGTAGCGGTGTTAATAGTTAACCTCAACTCGACACCACGCTACAGATGTATGGAGGATACGTATTGAATTGATTGATTCTCGACTAAAAGATTTCATTGATATGGAATACAATGTGGATGCAATGAATGCAACTTGGTGTAGATGTAGTGTAGAAATGCTGAAATATTTCAGCTGATTCAATCACAAGATCGGTGACGTCACTAGCAGTGTATCACACATCTGTTTTCAGTGTGTCAATGTGACATTGACATTTGTATAAACAATTGTATAGTCAAAATTCTATTGATTCATTCCCATGTTGATTCGATGGTAGATACGAATTTATATTTGAACACACACAATATGCAACAGTTTAGATGAAATGGTTATCTTGTCAACATGTGAATTCTGATCAGTCAGTCTTGTTTCTGTTCATCTCTCCCACTCTCTGTCACTCTGTACACCTAATTCCTTCCTCGTCTTAATCGCTCAATCACTCACTCACTCAATCGCTAACATTATGCCCAGTGTCATTGCATTTGTCGAGTCATATTTTGTTTCGGAAATCCAAATTTCCCTCAAGAATATTGGTGATGAATTTGGAAAGTGTAATTCACGACTTGTCTTGTTTATGTTTGAACTATGTAATACTGAATGTGTGTTTTTGTTTAGTGAGTGGGACAGTGATAAGAATGTAGTGTAGTGTTATGTTGAAGATTTTTGGTGTGTTTTTCTTCAGGCAGAATGGAAAGGTAAGTATTTCTCTCAGGTCTTGTTGCACTGGTCAAGAGGGTGAAATATTTTCAATGGGAAATCTGTCAGCTACAAATTATCATATCTTTTCAACAGTTTGTAAGAGATGGTGTCGAATTTGTTGTGGATCGTTAAGAGATACAAGTAAGTCGTGAATTGTGTGACGATGATATTCATAGGAAATTATCACTTCTAAACGAGTTCGTTCAAATCGATGGTAATGACTGTTTAGATGTTAATTCATTGTCAGTGAATCCATCATGATACGAATTCACAACCGATCAGCATCAAATATTTCCATGTTGACCAACATTGTTCAGTGGAAGAGCAGGATCGTTCATTATATTAATTGACTTTCATTGCTGTTCTGATATTATCAAATGATGATGACACATGTAGATCCCGTGTTAGAGAATTTTGCTGTTATGAAAATCGAGTTGAAATTAAATTCATTCCACGTGTATGCCACTTTGAAGCATGTTCATCACTCTCATGTTTTCATATACGAATTGTGTGACTGATCGGTGATGTCAGTGATGTGATGTTGACGTAATATTGAATGTGCAAATAATTGCACTGTATACCTGTGTCGAATCTCTTATGTTTGTTTGAACAGTGAAATGCAATTTAATCGATGGATTAGTGCAATTGTTGTTCAATCGATCACTTCTCCATTGATTATTCACATTGTTATCATGTCAACCACCACTTCGTTATATACGTAATCCTGTGAATTGCCAGTTGTTGACCTACTGTGGTATAAATACCCGTTGTATTTGACTTACTGCAAGTTACAGCTTCCTCTTCAATGAATATTGAACTGAATATCGACACACACACACACACATTAAAAGCGTGATATCCTGTTATTATTATTATTATTATTATTATTATTATCATCATCATCATCACCACCATCACAGAATTGATGATAATGCCTACTGTGAATTGGTTAATGTGAAACACATTTTCACACAGTTATATATTCATTCTTCTACATACAATAATTATCAACTATGTATAGACATTGATAAGAATAACAGCTGTTTCAAATTAGATGTTACACACACACGAGATGTTCATTCGCGCTCGCTTATCCACCATGATCAATATGAATGTGTTGTTGGTGTTGTTGTTGTTGTTGTTTCAGTTGGCACTATACAGTTTGAATACACAGTTTCATAGATTATAAATGAATTAGGGAAATTATGTTGATCGTTAGTTGGTTAGTCAGTAAGTTAGTTCACTCGAATCGATTTCAGAATCGATCTGATTCTATTTGTAACATGAATTAAACATCAACTGTTGACTGGAAAACACATTAATAATCGATGAGACAGATGGTGGATGAACAGATAATCACTTGTGAAACTTGGTCAGCTGAATAATCCGAAAGTGACAGGATGAAAATACTGTATATTCATCGTCGTGTTCAGTTACAAATCCCCACCAGTCCATTTTCACATCGTCGTCCATCCAACATTCGTGTCATTGGAATCGATGTTAGTGGAATCAGTATAAATTAGGACAATGTTCATTCAGTATTTCTATTATGTTGTTGAATATTTTGTGAGTAATCAGTGGAATGGGGAAAACGATGTTGAGTGTTGAGTTGATATATTGTGGTGAAAATCTTGATAGTGGAAATCTAGTGTCTTTCCACTCTCGATATTCTTTTGAGTACTGCGATCAAAATTCGCATCATCACGAAATTCCGATCCACTATTCAAAGATACATGAACAAGAGATGAGATTTAGTCTCTTTGAGTGATCTGATCACATTACATTTTCTTCAACATGCATACCACACAAATGTTCAAATTGAAATTCACATATGAATTGATTGAAACAAGTAATTGAATAAACCGGAAATCCATTCATCCTATCTGTTACCTTCTTTGTATTCCATCAATGAGATTGTCACAAGCATGGTAGATAAGCAGATAGATAGATAGTTAGATAGATAGATAGGTAGTTCAATTGAAACATGGATAGATAGATAGATAGATAGATAGATAGATAGATAGATAGATAGATAGATAGATAGATAGATAGGTAGATAGATAGATAGTCGTTCGAATGAAGAGAACGGAAGTATCATTCAAACTACACCACTGGTAATCTCTCTCTCTTTCTCTCTACATTTCTTTCTGTTTTCCTCCATCACTTAAACACACACGCACATGCACACGGTTGGGAGCAAACTGACAATATGCATTAGAAACGGAAACCCGTGAAACACATTCATTCAATGTAATGCCAGTCACAACTGATATTGTATGCAATGAGAGGATTCATCAATTTCACATTGAGTGGGAGCATAACGGAAGAGTATTTGATATACTGAATGGTAGAGTGTAGTGTAGTTGGCGAAATGAAATGTGCAATTTAAATATGAATAGAATGTGATATGCATGCCGCCTACCATCGTATACAATTATCGACTTCTTTTTCATTAGATAATAACTGCGAAAAGTGAGTGAAATATGAGAATGAATGATGGTGCAGAAAGAGAATGACATAAATGAAGTGCAGAGGCAGACTGGACACAGAAAGTGTGTTAGTTCCAATTGACAAAGAGTGATCCACTCTCTGTGGCTAAGCGAAAGTAAACTGCTGACAACTGATGATGATGATGATGATGATGATGATGATGATGATGATGATGATGATGATGATGATGATGATGATGATGATGATGATGATGATGATGATGATGATGATGATGATGATGATGATGATGATGATGATGATGATGATGATGATGATGATGATGATGATGATGATGATGATGATGATGATGATGATGATGATGATGATGATGATGATGATGATGATGATGATGATGATGATGATGATGATGATGATGATGATGATGATGATGATGATGATGATGATGATGATGATGATGATGATGATGATGATGATGATGATGATGATGATGATGATGATGATGATGATGATGATGATGATGATGATGATGATGATGATGATGATGATGATGATGATGATGATGATGATGATGATGATGATGATGATGATGATGATGATGATGATGATGATGATGATGATGATGATGATGATGATGATGATGATGATGATGATGATGATGATGATGATGATGATGATGATGATGATGATGATGATGATGATGATGATGATGATGATGATGATGATGATGATGATGATGATGATGATGATGATGATGATGATGATGATGATGATGATGATGATGATGATGATGATGATGATGATGATGATGATGATGATGATGATGATGATGATGATGATGATGATGATGATGATGATGATGATGATGATGATGATGATGATGATGATGATGATGATGATGATGATGATGATGATGATGATGATGATGATGATGATGATGATGATGATGATGATGATGATGATGATGATGATGATGATGATGATGATGATGATGATGATGATGATGATGATGATGATATGATGATGATGATGATGATGATGATGATGATGATGATGATGATGATGATGATGATGATGATGATGATGATGATGATGATGATGATGATGATGATGATGATGATGATGATGATGATGATGATGATGATGATGATGATGATGATGATGATGATGATGATGATGATGATGATGATGATGATGATGATGATGATGATGATGATGATGATGATGATGATGATGATGATGATGATGATGATGATGATGATGATGATGATGATGATGATGATGATGATGATGATGATGATGATGATGATGATGATGATGATGATGATGATGATGATGATGATGATGATGATGATGATGATGATGATGATGATGATGATGATGATGATGATGATGATGATGATGATGATGATGATGATGATGATGATGATGATGATGATGATGATGATGATGTGATGATGATGATGATGATGATGATGATGATGATGATGATGATGATGATGATGATGATGATGATGATGATGATGATGATGATGATGATGATGATGATGATGATGATGATGATGATGATGATGATGATGATGATGATGATGATGATGATGATGAATGGGTTGGGCGATATACTCAAACATACGCTCATATAAAATCAGTCAGAGTGAATGAGCGAATAATTGACAAGGTGAAAATGTGAGTTAAGACGAATGAATGAGTTGGTCAATCTGGAAAACAGATTAACATTTGTGGACTTCATATAGAACTAGACACCACAAATTCAGTTTCAGATCATGATTTTCTCATCTGTTGATATTTATGAATTTTCGATATATTCACATGGTATTTTGATTATCTCTGATTCCATCCATTTAAGCTTTTACTCATTTTTACCGACTGTTCAACGAACATATCCAGATGGTGTCAAGTAGAGAGATGGATAAACTTGAAGATGACCTAATGTAGCACAATCAGACGATGGTGATTTCATGATTTTTCAAACATCGAATCTGATTGAGTAAAATGTGAGAAGTTGGTGACGTGTGTTTGGAAGTGGATAGTGGTTGACGACCTGTGTTACACTAATCATCTGGATTCATACAGCCTGACAGAGAAATCTCTGATACCGGTCGGTGCAAGTGATCACTGTGCTTGACTGAGCACCTTCAACTAATTAACTGCATTGAAACAAGAATGTTTAGTATGGATGATGATGCTGATGATGTCTGTTAAACACTGTATCCAATATGAATGGATGGAAGATTGTTTCGGGTAATTTGATGTGTGAGTACAGTAAGTTGGTGCATGTGGCAAACATACTGGTTGAAATGTTTGAAAGAAATTAAGTGAAGGTATATTCCAGTCACATATCCACTTCCTATTGTTCAGTAGATTCACAGTTCCTTCCAACACTCGTTAGTTCGATATATCTACTGAGATGGATTAGTGATTACACAAACACGTTGATTATTATACACTTTCTCGAATTGACGGACGGATCGATCTCATGTTACAACTTCAGTAATTAATTGCGACATTGCGTGATCATTAATAATAATGAGCTGATCATTATTCAACGTGATATGATCGAACATTGAATTCGATGTGTGTTGTTGTCTGTGAAATGGAATATTTGTACATTCGATTTTCAAAGTTGATAATTGAACTACGAGAAATGATTAGTTCCAAGTGTGTGTGTGTGTGTATGCGAGTGTGTTATTCCCTACACATGTATTCTCAAGTATGTGTATGTTCACAGTGTGTATATGTACCTGATTCAATGTATTAGTGTTTTGTACGTTGATTGAAGGAAGTTCAAATGACTGATTGGAACTACTTTGATAATTTGAGGTGTTATTTTAAAATGCTTGATAATAAGTGTGAATTGGGTTTTTCACATGTGTTTGTTTGAAGAGATTGTATACAACAATGGCATCAGGTGTTGTGCATAATTTGTGCCGAGATGTGAATGTACCAAAATATTCCTGGACGAATGTTTAACCATACACAACACTGAAGTTTAGTGGAAATCATAAACCGGATTGGCATGATCGAAGAGCGAGAAGTAACTGAAACTTTCGTAATAAATATCAAACAGAACAGTATTGAAACGACTACTTGTGATAAAATGAATACAGACATGTTGTTCATTGATGGATCAAAATACTGATCTTTATGAATTGGACAAACTCCATAATGTTTAACGGGAAAAATTATTGCGAATACTGTGTTTGAATGAATAGTAAATGGCTTACAAATTTCTTATTTTTGATTGAAGCAAGGAAAATAAGCATGTTCAACTGTAGGTCTGATATTTAAGTGTCCTCTAGTCTGAAGCTTGAATATATGGGAAGCAAAGTGCTATGTATTACACGCCACAAATGTATCATCTACATAAGTGACATAAAGCTGTGTCTAATTGATCACTGATTTCACACCTGTCTGTTCTATATATCTCATAAACGTATATGCCAGGATTGAATGCAATGAGCTGCCAATGAACACTCTATCAATTTGGTGATGTAGGATATCATCGAAGTGAATTTGAATATGTCCGGTATGCATCAGTGGAATTGAACTCACTAAACACTTTTTGTGGGCAGTATGACGTAGTGATAGCAGCTCATGTGTAATTGAGTTCGTTCGCATTTAATTTGGCTAAGCCCTTTTGTTAACATATTTAAGGGATAGAGTCATTCGTACAATAACAACTTATCTGTACCACTGTACCTATATTATTGTTTTTGTGCTCGCATGAATATGTATGCTTGAGCGTTGCGTGCTGCCTACGCATATATATTCATTATGCTAGCCTTACTATTAGTAGCTGAATTGATTCCATGATTCATTCGCTTAACTATGTGTATATATATGTACATTTCAATCCTGTTCATTGACTCGCTGACTCGCTCATTCGACTCGCACGCTCACTCACTCGCTTGCCTGCTTGCTTCTCGGCACTACTCTTTCGTGCTTGATTAACATCCTTGTAATTTCGGTTATCTGTGTGTGGTGCAGTAATTAACGTAATTAACGCTTTGCGTTTGCCTTATGATTAATATGCCGTTGGAGTGGTATCTAGTGAAGGTTATTAGGACGAACAGTATGGAGAGCTAGGGATCATATTGAATCACGATCACCACATAGTGTTCACCTATGATTTCTTCTATTTCTTCTCATACAGTTGCGTCAAATGAACTCATGGATTAATGAGAGATTTCAACTGTTTCTATATTTTGAGAGGAATGAAATGTACATCTCAAACTGTGAACACATTTGTTTGACCTGATCCTTCTGCTGTCTCATCCATGTGTTTTTTCCAAGAGGTCAACTGAGAAACTTAATGAATCATCTACAATAATCTCCATTGTGTTGATATAACTCTCTCTGTTCATCAAAACAAATAAACAAGTCTCATTGAAATGTTGATATTGAAAATGCACACTTCCTTCTTCACCGTGGAAAGAAAACATGACTGATTACTATCCAGATTCGAGGTTCTCTGTTTGCTCATCAGTGAATGTGAACGAGACGGTGGTCTGATTGAAGTTACCTCTATGTCCAAATGTTTCTATTCACATCAATTTCATTTGAGTGATGATGTGATTTCTATCAACAATAATGATAGTAGTCAAATAGATTTGTGAATTTGCTAGAGTTCGTATTCCCAAGGGGTAATATCTGAACACTTCCAACTGTGTTCTATGTTCATATTGAAGTTTGTCTTCTATCCATGGGAATCTTCATCATTGAAAATCATAGTTGATAATGTTAGAGCAAACAAGAAATGATTCCGGTGTACACAACTCTAATCAACAGTTGATTGATTGAGTTCATTGACAGTTTTATCCAGTTGACAGATTGTTTGATTCAAACACATGAAGACGAACAATGAGGAATGTTAATCGAATGGAATAATCGAAATCTCACATTATCAAGATCAATTTGACAAGTGATGAAATAAAGTTTGATCACTGTGTCCATATCATAAAAGAATGTTGAGTTGCCTTATATATTGAAACAAAAATAGACAATAAATGCAATCCATTAACTATTCATTATTGTTTCTTATCATACCCTGTATCTCATTGTATCGACTTCCAACTAATGGATTGAAACAACGATCATTGAATACATTGAACATTTGAACAATCTGTCATTAACTCTAATGGCCATGATTGTTACCATTTACAACACATGAATAACGATACTTAGTATTACATAACACATTTAGTAAGATCAGGGAATATGTGTAGAGGGAAATAAACGAAAAGAATCTTTTCATATTTGACTACAGATTATGTGTGTGAAAGTGGAATGTGAACAATGAATTCGTTAGGTGATTTACAGAACTATTACTGTACCGACTTCGCTTGGTGATGAGAAACTTGTCGATCGTGAGTCCTATCATTGTCAATGTGATCTGTATGGAAACTGGGAGTTCTGCTAAACATAATGAGAACCAGACTGTTTGTGTGTTTGTTTTACGAAACATGGAATGATTTCATTCTATGACTTGATCATATCTCAAATTATGGTGTTTTGTTTAAGGATTGGATTCAGTTGAGTCTATCGTGCCTCAGTGTTGTGAGAGAATTCTAGTGAAACATATTTCTTTTGATTACGTGTTAGGTGACAGCGATTGTTCATGTTAAAACATGAGGAAATAAATGTCTCTTGTAGAACTTAAACCTGTGTCACCAAGCGTTATTCTTATTGGAGGATAAAACCATTGGATTTGTGCGGTCACATAAAGTGCCCATCACATCAAACTCGAATACCTAAACATCGACTTCCATTGTTGAGCCTATAAATAAAGCTTCGAATTGTGAGTAAGACGTGAGGGTATTCATGGGAATATTTGCGGCTATGAAGCTGCAGAACATTCCTGTGAATGTTATTCAATTAGTAATTGTTCACTGATAACTGATCACGTCTAAATTATGGGGGGATATTTAGAATTAGTTCGGTTCACAATTTGCACACTATTCACAAAGTAATCAACATGAGTGTAAATCCACTGAAGAATTCATTTTGAGTGAGTTGATCGATTTCCACGACTTGAATCATTTCAGCTTCAGTTTGCAAGAACACAAGGTTTCCGGTAACAACAATTCACAATAACAAACAATAATTTCAACATACTTTCAATCAGTTCATTCAACTTTCAGTAAATGTAAACGGTTCACTTCTTCATACTGACCATGATGCTTCTATTTTCAATCATCACAGTGTTTATATAAACGAATTTGTACATTTTTGTCACCGACATGCGTAATGCCTTCTCTCTCTCGCGCGCTCTCGTAACACATACATACATACATGCACAATTATGTGTAATAATACAGATAACCAGTTCACAGGAATAAGAGTTGTTCACAATGTAGTATCTGAATTGAAAGTTCATCTTGTCCATTAACAATCATTCATCAACATACTGTCAGTCATATAGATCAAATTATTAGAATATTATCTTCATTCAAACACTCTGTGTGTTTCAACAGTTGAGTACAAACACATCTACTCACATTGAAATGAATCTGTTTAAGAAGTTTCCTGGGTGTTGATTCTAACCGACTTATGTAATTAATACGAGCTTTGGACTATTAAACTCTTTGCAATACTCCAACTAAATATGCCGTTTCATTT